TTATATAATAACTACAGTGAAACACGCAATTTGATTGGTCAACAGCCGTGCAGGATCAGACAATCTCGAACTCATTAATAATTCATGAGCAAATTAGCGAATGAACTCACCCTAATTCGTCACATGATTGAGGTTGGATACCGCAAGGAAACACGCTAAAAATCATATACCATCACTGTTGTTAGATGAAAACCGGTTTTCATCTAATAACTGAGATCCTAATTACAAATTCAAGTCAAAACACAACAATATACTATAATAATTACTGACGGTCATAATAACCTATTGTTTTCTCTCTGCATTATATCAGCAAATGTCGAGAAGCTAAAATTGCACCCAGCATTATTAAAAATAATGCAGCGTGCACACAGCATTATTAAAAATAATGCAGCGTGTATCAGTGCACACAGACATTATTCGCAATTCTTTGTCATCCTGACAAGTACACGCGATAATGTGAACATCTCAAGATGAGAAGTTGACAGTGCTAAAGGCCCCTCATACAATATCATCGGGCGCCTGAAGCACTGCCAAAACGGTCGCTGTGAGTTCTTTCAGCTCAACTTTATAGAGAAATAGTTTCGTTTGCGCTTGTGGGATTTTATCCTAGATATACGCATGTGCAGAACACACCATAACTTCTATTCCCGTGTTTATCCAGTTTAATAATGTTTTCGTTCGAGATGTTATGTAAACAACTCGTTTCTCGTGTTTCATCAGGGGATCAAACACTCGAAAACAATAAAACACTCGCGCTTCGCGCTCGTGTTTCATACAGTTTTCTCGTGTTTGGATCCCCTGATGAAACACTCAAACTCGTTGTTTACATATAACATCCTGCACGGGAAATTCTGAACAGAAATTCTTGCACATAATTTTACAAATATACTCGCATTGTAAAGTTTCATTGTACGATACCTTTCGACTTTGAAGTAAGTTTCCAATTATTGAGACGTTGGTTTTAGTTGTATGAATAAATTTCTGATCGATACATTGCTATTCAGCAAGTAGCAACGCGTAAGCGTTGAAATTCATCAGACCATGGCATCCAAGTACAACATCTCTCGCTTCAAAGTTGATCAAACGCTTCGCAATCTTCCCATATTCAGCTCGAGAATCTTCAAAATTACGTTGTCTCTCTGTTTAGCGGGTTTTCCATTTAAAATTTCGTATATCTTATCGAAAAAGTCCCTGTATTTTCGCTGTATATTTTCGCGAATTTGCGATCAAATTCTGTTCACGTATGTTGTTGTTTTCAATAGCGTGGAGTAGCGATTCTCTGAATGGTTAATTCACGAATGTTGTGAGAACTGCACATTTAATCAGTAATTTTAATTTTATAAAACAATTACCAAATGGTTTTCCCGTGCAGGATAGCATGACCCATGCACTTGGGATGTTGCTCGACTTTCGGAAAGCGAAAAAATACACTCGCCTACGGCTCGTGTATTTTTACGCTTTCCGAAAGTCTCGCAACATCCCGCGTGCATGGATCACGCAATCCTGCACGGAAAACCATTCGGTATTCCTTTAATACTTCATGTTGAGACAATGAACCCGCCCCTCGTGGAAATCAGCGAAAGTTGACGAGGCTAGCGTGTTGTTTTTAAATAAAGTTTACCTACCTACCTGTTAGCGGGCGACGCAATTTTCCACATCGATTGACGGTGTTCGATTTTTCATTTTTGTCTTTAGAAGCAAGATGCAAGCAATTCTTACTGTATTCGTAGCAAATAATATATACATATCATTAATATTCAGCAAATATATCAGCAAACGCAAACGATCAGTAAGACATTGTCTTATCTACTGTTGTAAACACAATCACAATATAGTCTAAAGCTTCTCAAGAATGTGAACGACTAACTATAACAATTAATTATAAACGTTAAGTTGACTAAATTTAACATGCACGATGGCTTAGTTTCTCAAAGCGCGGAGGAGTAATACTCCTATCTGGCTGTTGTATAATATTCATATAGTCATAACACAGTCAATTTGTTTAATTTTAGCACAAGCATGCAGTTATGAAGTCATGACTAAGCGAGATGAAACCGTATATTAATTAACCTAGCAACAATTCAGATAAATTGTTACCTTAACTATAAGTCCCGTTTACACGGCACGTACACGACTGTGGCTGCAATATTAATTTTTGCGATGGCACGCACGGCACGGCAAAATTCGATATACTGCAAAAGTTATTTTAGGCACGGCATGTTTATTCTAAATATTGTGGGAGATTTAACTTATCTATCGAATTAAATTTTAGTTATTTGTTTATCAAGTCAAAGTCTCGAAGGTTTTGAACGTTTAACGATTTGCACAAGATCGGAACTTGGTCGCGCAGTTCCTGGTCCACTATAGTACGATTGTACTTGTTTTATATGATACGCAACATCAGTTTCTTAAAGCAAACAATAGCTACATCAATTTTAAAAGCGATCTTACCTTAGGTTTTACTCGCAATCTATTGCCCGGCCCTGATCTTTTGTTATGAAGCAAAAACAAATAAACTGTTTGGCTACTCGTCCCATTAAACGATTTTTTCGGGTTTCTCGTTGATGTGTTCCTCATGAGATCAGTAGGAGGTCCGCCCACGGAACATAGTGAGGCGCCCATGCATGCTTTCTCTTTCCTGGGTTACATTTTCATGTCACGCAGTCACGAAATATGATTGGTTAGGAGGTTAGGGTTAAGGATTGGATTAGGTTTCGTGATTGCGTGACATGAAAACATAATCCTTTCCTGGATGTATCTTTTCCCCGATGTAATTATAAAGAGCCGAAATGAATTAGTACCCTCGCCCCGGCTTGAGGATTACACGGTTCGATTCTCGCACACAATGTTAACCTCCAAAAAGGAACATGTTCTTAAAATTCCAAACTTGAAATCCTGCAGCCAAGGTGGCTGCATCTGCTGGATATTAAAACAGCTATTTTCTAAAATCTCGTCGAATATGAGCGATAGCTGATTCGGCGCTACACGCCTCATCGACTACCAGCTCATATTTGACCCGAGTTCGTAGAATAACTGTTAAATATTTATTCGTTTTATTTAGAGACATGAAAATGTTTGCGATATTGCTGATAGCTACTCTTTGCGGAATATCTTCAGTTGAGTGGTAAGCATATGCATGACAAACACTAATTATTCATTTTCTTTAGTTCAGTCATTTTCATTGTAACTATAATCTCTAAAAAAACGCATTTTACTTTTCAGTGGATGCGACAGTGAGCGCAGGGGACTAACCATGGATGAATCAAGCAAATTCGTCATTTGTACGATGTTTAAAGGCTCAAACTGCTTGAAATGCAAAGCGTAAGCAATCCGTTTTGACAAAATTTTACATAATTTACAAGCATCATGCAATTTCGAACATGTAATTAAAGACTTAGCTTATTTTGATCGCGGGGTAGTAATATCCGACGAGGGTGGTAATCTCTAACCGAATATTTATACCACGCACGCTATTAACAGTAGAATCCAGGACGCTTCTATATATAGGGCAGTGCGACGAGCGCACGCGAACTGATCGACGTGTGATCATGATGGGAAATAGTCTGAGGAAGCAGGTTTTTGGCGAAAATGGAAGAAAAAGTAGACTTTGAAAAAGAGGATTTTGATTTAGTGTGATACAAACTAATTTAATAGTTATCTGCACTATATATCACTCTGAGTACGGAATTAGTTTGCATTTAGCAAAAATTCTGGTGTCAGAAAGAATTTATTATCGATAATGCGCGTGCTTTTGATTTCTTCGAAGTTAACCGGCAAAACATCTTTTGTCAACCTACTTCGAACTTGGGCATGTTGATCGAAGCTCCTTATTTAAAAAAATCGGAGTTGATTCTTAGAAGATATCATGGCTGTAATTTGACCCTTTTAAAGAGTCTTTTCGGGACGTTTAGCCAGTAAAATATTCTGAAAAATAGCGAAGACGTTGTATTTCGCCTAGCCTGTGATGCTGTTGCCACTGTTTAATGTGTGGCTTAAGTTTTATGACTGCTGCATGGAACAGAATTAATCTTATTATACATATAGGCCGTATGCTGTGACCTAGAAAAGAGCCTAGAAAGCGATTTTCATTTCACCTGTCTTGGAACTGAAATATTTTTACGGGAACTAAACACTTTCGAACACGCTGAGTTTAAATCCGAGAAGTTCCCGCTCTATACACCTGCAGTTTTCTCACAAACTGCAATTTTATCTTCACTAATTTCACGACAACTTTTTTCATTGTTCAACGACACGGATCAAGGACGACAAACGATTATGTCACTCAAAAAGACCAATTTCTATTAACCAGTCTTCCTTTTAACAAAAGACCGGTTTTGCTCGAATCATTTTGAGTTATGTTAGATTATGCGCGTTAGACGTAAACAACATATCTTGTCTACAACTTTGGGAAGGTACAGATAAAGCTTTCTGAAAGTCTTTTGGTTATGTCTCTGGGCTGAGAAATAATTCCTTACATGCGGTCAAAATGTTTTATACAACGATGTAAAACGGTAATGTTATGTCATGGGTCGCATTTAAATTTCCAACACAGTTTTTGAGACGTAATTCAAGAAGTAACTTATCATTGCATTTGAACTATCATATCAGTTGGTGTTATTCTGTGCGATTAGCAAGTATTATTGGAAAGAGGGCTTTCATATACGTTGTAATCACCAAATAAACAGGTCATGCACACATTTCTCCATTTCGTCGTGAGTTTACAGAGCAGATTTTATACTTTGGCACTGATATTTGTCTTTGATGTGAACATTTATTCTTCTAGTTTAACTTATATTTAAGAGTCATACTGTCTTAAGTCTTCTCCCAGCGGGTCTAGCTATTTTGCGGGCTGCGGGTCAGGAAATGTGGGCTGCGGGTTAAAACAATTGAGGGCCGAGGGCTAAATTGCTGGCCTAACTAATTTTTTAATGAAATTATCGACAAAATTCAATGAAAATAGAAATTCGCAGTTTAGGCATGAATAGGAAGGTTGGCACCACTTATTCACCGAGGATAATTTTCTATCCAAAATAAAATTGCAAGATGAAGTACCGAACAGCCATCCGTCATGATTGTGGGCTATTGTGCACAAGAAAGTAGGAAATAACCGTATCAAATTGTGGCCGTTCATGCAATAAACAGTACAGTCATATTTCACTGGTCATTGGCCTACTTTGAATCTGGGTTCCTGTAGTATACTTCATGTAATACCTTCCAAATAAAGAAAACAGTTAAATCTTCGGAATATTTCCCGGATAGGAACGTGATTGTGACTGTAATCGAGATATACTTTCCTGTATGTGTTTATTGTTTCTGTCTATGTATATACTTACAGTAAGAATGCCGACTCGCTGCTTGTTACCAAATTTTTATTTATTTATATGATTTACGTTACGATTAAAAATGGCATTTTGGTTTCCTTGGTATTTCAAACTTATTTCACACAAAAATATATTTGGCAGCTTTTTTCATGACGTCACACAAGACTGAAAGAATTCGGAGCCATATGCAAAAATGTCCAACTCACTTTTTATACGGACTTCATGCGACATGATTTCAGGGCTTTGCGTGGGTCCAGTGTTTCGAGAAAATTTGATTAGGATTGGTGTACAGTTATCCCGGTAGAAACAGGCTTTAATGTCTGGTACGACTCATAAATTGAGATTCCATGATATTACAAAAAGAACGAATTTAAGGAAATATTCATATGCTTATGATTACGAATAGCATTAGATATGGACTGTACTTCAAAGACAGAAAATTTTGAATAATATTGTTATTTTTTTTACATTTTGACAATAATTTTTAAAATTCGTCCCCGCGGCTCGCAATCGTGTTAGCCCGCAACCCGCATTTTTCTCCCCGCAGCTTGCATTTTTCTGCCCGCAGCCCGCATTTTTCTGCCCGCAGCCCGCATATTTCTGCCCGCAGCCCGCAACCCGCAAAATAGTTAAAACTCTCTACCAACAATCCATCGACAATATTTCATTTTAGCGTTGTCTTTGCCGTTCCGTTGGCTTCGCGTTACTTTTGTTTTAAATACCTTGATCGCGTTAAAAGAGTTATTTCTCAGACCAGAGACATAGCCAAACGACCTAGCATTAACGTCCTTGTGATTTTATTGAGATAGAGCCAGAACTGAGGATTTCAGAAAGCTTTATATATGTACCTTCCCAAAGTTGTAGACAAGATACGTTGTTTTCGTCCAAGACGCATAATAATTATAACATAACTCAAAATCATTCGAGCAAAACCCGTCTTTTGTTAAAAGGTAGACTGGTTAATAGAACTTGCTCTTTTTGAGTGACATAATCGTTTGTCGTCATCGATCTATGTCGTCACAGTTAGGTATCGTTGAATAATGAAAAAAGTTGTCGTGAAATTAGTGAAGATAAAATTGCAGTTTGTGAGAAAACTGCAGGTCTACGGAGCGGGAACTTTTCGGATTTGAACTCAGCGTGTTCGAAAGGACGTGTTAGTTCCAAGACAGGTGAAATGAAAGTGAACGATGTCAAGACGCAGCAAACGGCCTAACTGTAGTGCTTAATTAAACGATGTTAGCATGATTTATTTAAAGTTCATATATACAGTATACAAAAATATATTTCAACCTCGTTGTGATGATGTCAACTGAGTTACTGAGTGCATGAACTGACAACATCTAAATTATATGACGATGATTTATTTAATTTCTGGGTTGAGATTTTTACGCCAAACATTCCAAAACCTCTAAAACATAAAAAATTATATTTCTTTCAATTCTCTAAAACGACAGTAATTCTCATTTCTGATTTCTCATAATTCTTCACTCCATGCATATAGCTGCTCAAACTAGTCACTCGGGTTTTGGCAGGCATCTCACAGACTTTGTAAATCAGGTGAATCACGAGATGCCTGCGCAAGAGGTGATAGCAATGTGCGTCTACTAATTAGTAACGCACAAATAACGTGTACGTAGTTGATTTAGAACTGGCTATAATTTTGTCTATATTTACAGGCAGTATTTTTATAATCGAACAGCGACATTCCTTTAAATTTTTGCAAGTCTAAATTTCCTTTAATTAACTCTTTCCGCGACAACATCGTTTCCTAGCTTATTGTTTGTTTGTCCGAAAAGTTGAGCTCCAGCACACGTTTAGCCCCTGTAGGTCAACCTCGAAAAAGGTGGATTGAACAATGCAATGTATCCATATATAGCTAAGTATCCATAGAAACAGCAATATTTTATTTGTAAATATGAATAAGTTTCTTCTACAAGTAAAGAAATGACGAAAATTGAAAAACTTGTCGACTAAATAAAAATCTGTTTTTGTTGGATTTTCGCATGAAAACACGTTCGCCCCTGGTCATGCTGCCTCTAACGTCGATGAATCAAATGACTGGAGTTGCACCGCCGTATATATATACGCCCTGATAGAATGTTAAGCAAGCGATATTTCAATCTAAATAACTGTTACGTTATAGATGGCAAGTAATGGCGACTGTAGTTCAATAATAAATAAATTAATTGACTACCGTTTATAATTTATTAATTGATTTCAAAGAAGAACTGCTTACACCATCACTCGTCAACTATAACGGCTCGATTGACTTCCGGTTGGCGTCCGTGTTGGCAAAAACATCGCCTGCTTAGGGACCGGTCCTTATTTATGGCGGGGATGGCACCGAAGAGAAAAGGTTTGGGTAAACAAAATGTCTGATTAAAAGGTAATTGTGTAAATGAAAAACAAAACAACTCAAAGGTTGGGTAATATAAATTTATTGTCATTTTCAAAGCAGGACTCATTGAAATATTGGAGACTGAAAAGCAATGTTAACAGTCATATGTCAATACAATATGTGAATCAATCGGAGTCACTCTATCTTGATCAGTTTCCAATTTGTTGGGAGACAAATGGTGTCTCCAAAGAAAGTGATAAATGACCGTTATGTGACAACTGAATGGCATACTTTTGTAAAGTTTTTGGCCATGGGTGGGTATTTATTTTTTAATTGATATTTGGGGTTGGATAATCAAATTTTTTACTTTTAAAGGTTGGGTCAGCAAAATTTTTGCTACGAAAAACATTTCTCTTCGGTGCCATCCCCCGCCCTCCCCCTCACCATAAATAATAACCGGTCCCTTAAGCTCTCGTTACGTCATTTGATCAATTTCTAAAGTTGTTTCTTTTTTAAGTTTTTTTATTAATTGTGTTACGGTAATGGTTGGAGTTTGGTTTGAAGTTACCGCGTTGGGGTTAGAGTAGGGGTAGGATTTGGGTTAGATACATAGCCATTTAACATCAGTTATCTTCCATCTTACGAAAATGACGTCATGTCAGTTTGGTAGATGGGAACATGTGCTGACCGATAATTCGAGTATCGTTCATAGGTATGATGATGCTCCACAGTCAAAAACAAAATGTTGGGTATTTACAGTAAATTGAGCTAAATAATTTGAAATATATACAACCTCGAAGAGGAAAATGCTAATATCTAATGCTGATATATCATAGAAATTGAAATAGATAAACCTAGCAGTGAACAAATTAAGCGCATGTGAGTTAAATTGTCTCCTTGAAATAAACAATATACAAAAGAAAAGGTTGTACATATATCGCTGTATAAAATATAGCTCAACTATATATAACAGCACGTGCACAGTATTCATGCAGTAATATTTTTTTCTCGTATTTTAATTTTCTCTCAAAGCAGAAATGGAGAAAACCTGAAATGTAACACAAAGCTCGCGGTGGGGAGTGATTCCAGCGTAGATAAAGGGCCAATACCAGATGGTTTATACGCTATTGGCTCTGTTTTCAAGAACAATGGCAAACCATGGGCAAACATGTACCCACAGAAACAAAGTGGTGGTGGTTGGTGGGATTATTACCGTAACAACCCGGACACTGGACGTGGCTACATTGGATTACACCCAGGTTCTAATTCACATGGCTGTGTGACAGTCACTGCAGAATCTTGTTGGGATAAGCTTGAAAAAATGTTAAAAAGCAAGCGTGGTGATACTATTACAGTGTCTAAAACATGGTGGAGAACAGCTGATGTCAAGCGGGTTGGCCTTCTCCAAGCAAAGAACTGAATTTTTTCAATGACATCCATTGTATAAGAATGAAGTCATTTCATTATTTATGTTACGTACATGTCAAATGATAATTATCATGTTTCGCAGTAAATGTATACCTGAAGCTGCAGATGTCAAATTTTGAAAAATTAAAAGTCATCTTTTCTCTTTGACATAAAATAATATTTTTAATTAAGCAAAGCTATAAATTGTGGTTAATGGAGTAATATGTTCTAAAGACTCTATTTGCTCGAGGGTGTTTTCAGTCTGCCAAAACATCTGCGTCACAAAAATTAATCCGTACAAGGTCCAAGTACCTCGGTAGGACAAGGGAACCGTTTTCTAGTCTTGTTTTGTCTTGTTAATATTACATGAAATAAATTCCTTGATTCTCATCACCACACTTTAAAAATGTCGAAGAAGCGTGAGGTTCATATATTACATTTTATATTTATATAATTTATATGTCAATAAATTAAAAAATAATTCCGAACATTTAATATTTCTGTGATTTCCGAAGTGAAGTGTCATAAATCGAAATAAACATATTACATTACAAATTTCTGTAATTTCTATCGTATATCTCCACGACTGAATGACTGAACCCTTGAACTGAATGCGAAATTTCTTTGAAATGCAATTAAATTTCTTCCAAGATTCTGTTTGTTTGAAATTGGCAGTTTAAAATGGCACTAAAAACCCACAACTAACAACGATTTAATTAATATAAATACTGAAAAAATTCGTTTATTTATAGAATTAAAACCACTTTCGACTATGCTATTGGCAATATTCTCGAAGTAGAAGCAGCGTATAATACATTTACAAGGGAATCAGAGTTGAAAAGTTTACGAATTGCAATTGTGAACAAATCAGTTTTTGGTAGCCTTTTACAGTCGACTCTATCTGATTGTAAGCGTTTGGTTTGATGCATAAACCCACGCCTCGGTAGGAAAGGAAGTGGACAATACCTTGCTCGAGTGACATATACTTAACAAATAGATAAGATTTTGCCGTTATCTGTTCAGTTATAGATACACAGTATGACGTCATCATGTTGGAAGAAAAAAGTGGCCACGAGGCGAGTGAGTCACTTTTTTGTTCCTCCCACATTTTGACGTCATACTGTGTATCTATAACTGAACAAACAACGGCAAAATCTTATTTATTTGTTTTATTTAATATATAATAAAAGAAGAACCCCGAATTAAACACTGTCAGGTAAATAGCTTACTTTTTATCCACCCAAACATTTGCAAGATTGAAAAAGGCAAAATTTTACAAATATCACGTGTACATGATCTATACAAATAAGGGAATGCTATTGGATAAGGTTTTGTGTGACGTAATTCCGTGCCACTGTCCTCTAATAAATCACGGCTCTCGACCAGTGAAAGCGCTTGAATCCTTAACGTTATTATTGTAGTGTCTGTGACGTCACAGTCACGTGAGGAACACCAGGAGAGACAGAGTAGTGTTGGAGAGAGAGTATTGTAGTAAACGAGCGAGAGAATAAATCCTTAAAGTTTGATAATATAAACACTATAATTATATAAAGTCGACTTGCGACTAAGGAGCGAGTATACTCGCACCTATTCGTCAGTGTAGGTAACATTTCATATAATCTTGAACGGTCTGTGTAGGTGGTGTCAATAATAAGAAAGCATCGGATTGATAAGGATGCAACTTCCTGAAAAATACAAGGAGAACGTCGACGTTTCGAGGGAAGGACCTTCGTTGGGAAGTCAGTAGCGACGACGGACCTTCTCTCGAATTAACCTCAAAGTTTTCCTTGTTTTCCGAAGCTTTCTTATTGCCCACGCATAGGCTAATTTTTGAAGTACTACACTGTACCGTAATTTTATTTTGTAGAAATCAATTCTCCGAAAAACGAACGGAGGAGGAGAACAAGCGCAATATTTTCACCCTATAGTTCTTTTCAGTTGTTTGATGAAGAAAGATCATAACCTATAAATAATTATGTAAAAACCCAGGTAACATTTTGCAGTTGTGTCTTCAGTTATAGATACACAATGTAGGGACACACAGCATGACGTCATAACGTGGTAAGAACAAAGACGTGGCCCACGAGCGGAGTATAAATAACATCCGCTGTGTGTCTATAACTCAGGCTCAACAGACAACGTGTAATAGACCTTTTTAAAAAGTCTGCCTTGTGAGTAGTTTACGGATAAATACGATCTTTTGGCCAATCAGGCAAGCCAAATAGCAGTGCGGGGTTTTCCTTTATCCACAAACTACGTCACAAGGCACACTTTTTAAAAAAGTTTATTGGGCCCACTGTAATTGGAATTTAAGCTGTTTTGGTGTCCAAGCTTTTTTATTTTATTGGCTGTTTTTGCCTGTTTATTGTTTGATGTTATTTTTTGTTGTTTTTTTTTTTAAATAAATAAATAAATAAATAAATAAATAAATAAACGTCAAATAACTATATATTTTATTTTACCAAACATTTGAAAATTTACCTACACTAAGTATAGAAACATCTTGTGGTTTGAAGTACGGTAGATCAAAACTCTCAACCAATGACAAGCCAGATTGAATTCAGGTTAGCTATTATGATAATTATAAATAAAGTTTCACAACCTCATATATTGACCTTTAGTGCTGATCCTTTATGGATCAAATTAGGAAACCTTTTTAATTTGAAAAAATTGGACGAAGCGTATGAATTACTCCGTGAAATAACAGGACTCACATTTTTATTGATTACAGTATATATTTAATTCGACTTTTAGCCAAAGCGACCATCCACTGGAATTAAACGAGGACGTTGTATATGTTAATCCGATTTATGTTTTTCATTAAGCCCCATACAGGCAAGCATGGTTTCCTTGACAAGTTTTCCTTCTCGTATGTGCACGATCAATAAGTTTTCCTTGACAAGTTTACCTTCTCGTATGTGTACGATCAATAAGTTTTCCTTGACAAGTTTACATTCTCGTATGTGTACGATCAATAAGTTTTCCTTGACAAGTTTACCTTCTCTTATGTGTACGATCAATAAGTTTTCCTTGACAAGTTTACATTCTCGTATGTGTACGATCAATAAGTTTTTCTTGACAAGTTTACCTTCTCGTATGTGTACCATCAATAAGTTTTCCATGACAAGTTTACCTTCTCGTATGTGTACAATCAATAAGTTTTCCTTGACAAGTTTACCTTCTCGTATGTGTACGATCCATAAGTTTTCCTTTACAAATTTCCTTGACAAGTTTACCTTCTCGTATGTGTACGATCAATAAGTTTTCCTTGACAAGTTTACCTTCTCGTATGTGTACGATTAATAAGTTTTCCTTGACAAGTTTACCTTCTCGTATGTGTACGATCAATAAGTTTTTCTTGACAAGTTTACCTTCTCGTATGTGTACGATCAATAAGTTTTTCTTGACAAGTTTACCTTCTCGTATGTGTACGATCAATAAGTTTTTCTTCACAAGTTTCCTTGACAAGTTTACCTTCTCGTATGTGTACGATCAATAAGTTTTCCTTGACAAGTTTACCTTCTCGTATGCGTAAGATCAACAAGTTTTCCATGACAAGTTTTATCATTCGTGTGCATGTGAATGTCGCCTTTTGTTTTGCCAAGACCATGTATAAAAGTATTCTTGTACACTTGTCAAGTTATTCTTGCAATGATTAAAATTAAAATGTGTCACATTAGCAAAATTCAGTGACAATTACTGTATATTTTTATGAATTATATATCATAATCAGGTCGTCCAACGAAGAATGGCGAGAGTGGTCTGAAATCACCAATATCACCATCTCCTGTGTTTGTTCCTATCAATGGCTTCAAGCCACCAAATAATGAGGATCCATCACTCAATCAAACATCACCTTCATCAGAAACTTCACCCAAGGTTTGTATATTTCTTATGCATGAAGATAACGTTTGCATATAGTATATTAATTTGGTAGACGATATCGTGAATTTCTATGGGGAACCATTTACATTGCTTCTTGTTATATACAAGCAAGCGATAGTTACGTGTAATAATTTCTTTATTCATCTATAAACAGTCACGGACACAAGGCGAGTATGTATGGAACCGCCTGCCCCAAAATGTGCCCTAAAGACTCCAAGAGGAAGAACACTTTGTAAACAGAATTAATAGTGTTAGCACAGAATAGAGACCTTATCAGAAGACCGACTCAGCGAAAAGAGTGTAACCGCCGCCACGCCATGATTCGCAATGATTCGTCATCAAAATGTACTCGCAATTTTCCTAGTCAGTGCGCTTGCGAGAGACATCCCCCCCCCCCCTAAATGTTTGCCATTTCTTAATATTTTCAGGGAAGTGAATGTCTCTTGTAAGCGCACTATAGCTAGGAACATCGCAATACCATAGCAAAGGTTACGTCAAAACCATAGGCAGAAGCAAGAAGTCGGCTTTCTGTAAGGTCTTTGTTCTGTAGTATTATCTATTAGGAATAGAGTTAATTCAGTGTCTGTGTCTGTAATTTAATACTTTGTAATACAGTAACTTAAATGTATTCATAATCTTTGTCATTATAATTTTACTGTTAGTGTGAAGATGTTCGCAGTTAAGACGAAACGTCACATTCAACAAACCTTTTATAAATATTTTGTGTGTGTGTATGGCCCTATTTTAAGCATTATATTGCGCTCTTATTTTCAGCATAAGAATACAGTATAGTTTAGATTAATATGTATTGTTGTATTTGTAGGAAAGTATAAAAAATAAAGAACCAATGGAATGGCCTGGTACTCTTGCTGTTGCTCACTCTTACCTCAAACACAGAGCTGGTGAGTTAATGAGGTATTGCATAAAAAATATTAAAATTCCATATGTATACTGTATATATATTCGAAAGGAATACACCCTTTCGATAATTACGTCACACGTACTCTTTGGTCTTGGAGCCCGGCTGTCATTAGTAAATTACGCAAGGTGACTGGCTCACGATTCATGACAGCGAGGCTCCCAGGCCAAATGACGTAAATATCGAAATGGTGTGTTGGAAAAAATGGGTTGATACAACAGATTCATGTGACTTTAAAAACCTGCATATAGGCTGAAAGCCAAATAGTAAATAATTTTGAATTTGTTGAAAGAAAAATTTTGAAGAACGATAATACATGCAGTATTCATTGAACCAGGGCGTAATAAAACACATGTGTTTTACAAATAGATATAAATGTGTTTTACAGCGCCCTGATTGAACCCGTTAAAACTTCATTCATCATACTGTAAGCTTTTAGCTGTCTTGGTTGTAAACCAGCCCAACATATTGGTGCAACATCATCCTGCATTCATTTGTGGGAAGCAGCATTGTTGGGTCTCTTTGAACATGGATATATTACAATTGGTGATGTTGGCTTTTGTTACTTTGGACCAGGTAATTTCAGCATAATGCTCAGCAATGCTATACCAACAAGTTCAACGATGATGGAATGATTTGAACGGGTCTGTAAAGGCTTCGCAATAAATCAACATTTAAGTAAAGTTGTTGTTATTATTTTATATTTTCTGCAGAGAAAGACAAAGAAAAATAAAAACTATTGAATCGAAATCAAGAACTAAAACTACAAGAACTAGAATATTGCAAAGAAAAGTGAATGAATTAAGCAGCGCAATAGTGGTAAGTATTTTTCGTCCACAGTACTGTACGTCGCAAATAAGCTTTGGTTAACGAGCCATGTGTGCGTGGCAGTTCTTGTGCATGCATCATCTCTGCGATCGGGCTTCGTTTTCCTGCATTGCTGTCGTCATCAGGGTCTCCTGATTTATTCATAACTGCCTAATATATTATGCTGATGACGATCCAATTGCCAATTAACGTATTTGTAGTGGCTCTTTTCAATTTTCAACCTACTGGCCACTTTGCAGCAAAATTCCAATCAATCAATCAATCAATCAATCAATCAATCAACCAATCAATCAATCAATCAATCAATCCACAACATTATTTAGCTGTCAATCTTCTATAGCAAAGCACGAATGGTTCACAAAGTGGCGAGTAGTTGGTTGAAAAGAGCCACTACAAGTAGAGCCAACAATTAGCTTCAGGAAATTCTTGAAATCAACGACAAATGAATTCATTCTGTCACAGATATTCTTGCTTACAAAGCATTAAGGTTCCACTAGCTCCATGATCAGTATTTCGTCAATATACGCTTCCTGAAAGTACGTCACCTTTGCCATGGAGCCTCATTTTTGTGGTTGAGTCGTGGACTGATGTCACATACACGCAAACGAGGCACTATATGGACAAATTGACATACTTTCCGCCATTCTAAGTATAAAATATTTGCAGAATAACGTTTCTCCAGATAAATTATAATAACAGGTATTAAGAAACGAAAGCTATGACATCGCATGTGGCAACTTCTACTAGCTATGAAAAAAAATGATAAACGTTGGGCTTTTCAGCAGAAAGATAAATTACATTATTTCTTAGAATGACACAAATATACCAAAAATCATGATAATTATACATTGGCTAATTGGGGTTAGTGGTACTGTATTAATTTCCCATTTAATATGCTTTTCCTAGACACAAATCCAGAAGAAGACAGAGATAGTGGAATCCACAAAGCAAGCTCAAGAAAAACTACAAAGATTGAAGAAATTTATCCAAGCTGTTCATTCATCATAAATAGAAATATATTTTTGAAGATAGATTTTTATTATATGGAGACAGAGACTCCGGGAGATAATGAAGTTAAAATAACAAATAGCTCTAGGAGCAAGTATATTGGATATGCGTACTGTATCCTATTCTATCATCTTTTTAAAAAGCAAGACCTTCTCTTGATTTTTATAAAGTTTTATTTAAATTATGTGCGACATAAATTTGCACACCCGTGCGTCTCTCTCTGACATACAACACTGAGTTATTGTTCAAGCGTTCATTGTCCTGTCATGTGATCACTCACATGATTTGCGATGACCAATCAAAATGCAATACTGCCAATTTGCTAACATGAAGTACGAAACTGACCTAAAAAGATTAATTTCTACAATCTTATCGTGCTCTATCTTCCATGGAGTCATCGTAGCCATGTTGGGTAAATTTGTCAAAAGCTTTCCTTCTTTTCAAATAATTCAAAATTCACCCAACGTGTTGCGAAAATTACTTTCCACTTTGACTCCTTCATATTGGTTAGCAAAACCGTGGATCCTTCCTCTTGCCCAGAAAACGTATATCATGTTTTCGTGCCAAATATTCGGGAATGCGACTACATTCCAAACGTAATGAGTAACGTATATGACGAAAACGTTTTTTGAACCATATCCTATAATCGGCGTTTTATTCTTTTAGATAAAACGCGGATATGACTGTTAAATGACGTTTAAAGAGATGATAAGTCATCCGTCCGTATCCGCGTTTTACTGAACGTTTTGACAAGAAAACAAGGAAGCGATCCGTGGTTTTTGTAATAGCAGCACAGTTTGTGTTATTCATTTGCGATGTCTCTAGATGCCTCGAAAATCTAAAACTTGGCTGTCCAGTGCCGGCTTTGACGTAGAATACTGTAGAAGACTTTCTCGACGGCTACTTGTAAAGCGAAAATAAAAAAATTTTCACCGTTGCAAGCGTGCACGGCCAACTAACGTTGCTAACGAAGGTCCGTTCAAATCAATCCAAAATGTTGATCCATCATCAACCAACTTAGTTGCATGTAATATATTTGATCTGACTCAGTTTGGTAATGTAGGCTGATATATTGAACGGGGCTAGCTTTAGATTGAGTGGCCGTTGTATTGTTCCAACAACAAAGATCTCATTACTAGTTATGTGGATTGTTGACATCATAAATTCTCCCCTTGTATATATTTCCTGTTGTTGAATTTGGTTCGTATTGGGGGTCAAGACTCGCGCGTTTATCATGATTGACTGATTGAACGCTCTTCGCATGCATGAGCTTCGAGAAGACTACAACTATCCTTCACGTTTGATTTCAAATTTCCGATTGGATATAGCGTTCCAGTTATATTCATTTCAGCGTTCCGCATTATATTTATTTCAATGATTGAAACCCAGAGATTTAGAAAGTAACGTTAAATATTCCAGTTTATACAGACGTACTTTTCAATAAAAACTACGTAAAAATTATAAATAGAGCAATGCATGGTCGTTCAAAGATCCAGAAATTCTGTTTTTATGCTATCATGGTATCTAGAACATTAACAGTTGTCTACCATTAATAGAACCTGGACACTCTGTCATCCGTTGCTCAGGAGCCTAGCTTGCCAACCTTGTACCATACTTGTACCCAGAACAGGTGGGCAAATTGTCCTTGCAAATATTTGGGTCGAGTGGTCTATTGTGCCCCAACGCGATCATCATCAAGTTGAATATGCATAAAGGTGGTATAATGCTAAGATTTCTTATGTTTCACCTTGATTTCCTCATTGAATACAGATTGTGAAGATGTATTGTTCACACAGGCTGGTCAGTTATGTTCCGAATCTTATGCGCTGCTTTCGAATTCTTTTGGAAGTTATTTTTCTTGGCAATCACAATATCACATGTAATTATCATGTTTTTTTATAATCCCACGGATATTAACTGTCTCAACTTGGCGCAGGGAAAGCCCAGCGTGGTTTTCCCTAAGCGTTCGCCCAGCAAAATATGTGTCATTTAATCGATAATTGATGCATTTGACACTCAATAACACGTCCTTTGAAGCGTTTAATAATGTGCTGTGGTTGAGACCGAAGCGTTTGTTCTGGTATGTAGTATCATTTTGCTCTCTCAACGATGTGATTTCTATTTTTTTCCCTTAATTATATCAATGAATCCGTTTAACATCCATCTTACATTTTATTTTGATGTAGAATTCGTTCTAGTTTGCTGTAAATTATGGACGAAATCGAAGTGAAATCTAAGCCCAAACCAGTTCGTGGGGTATGAATTATAAATGTTCTCTATATTTTAGTAATTTGTTTTAATCTCGCATATTTAGATTCTTTCTGCATCCTGGGAATGTTTGACTGTGTTATAAATTTGTTTATAATTAAACCTGCGGGGGTTAGGATGTATTATTTTACATAACTATAAACATTGTATTTAGGATTTAACGCTTCATAGCGCCATTGTGTTGTAGGGCAAAGGGCAGAGCACGTGTTTCCGATAAAATGTAATTATGGGTGTAATCGATTGTTTAATATCATTGATTGAAATGCATGATTACGCATAATTGCAGTGTTCTCAACAAAGATATGCTGCAAGCATGATGTACAATAATTAGGTTTGTAAAAAAGTATAATTAACAAATTTCGTGAAAAATTCAAAAGTCCCGAATGCTTTACGTTAACGTTTTAACAACATGCCAACATTGTCGTATTGGTATTTGACTAAACCCTTGACCTTAATCCGCAGTGCATTCCATGTTACCACAACTGTGCAACAACAATATAATGCCAAAATTTATATACTATATACAGGGTGTATACAAAAAAGTGACCTTTTAGAAATCACCCTTTTGATGTAAACATGAATGAATTATAATCATACAGATACTGCATAAAGTGTACATGAAAATTCTAATTGAAAGTTAATAAAACGACTTAGAAATTAGTCCTGTCAGATCGATTAACAATTTAATTAAATTTCCAGGGGCCAGTTGTTCAAAGCCCTATTAGCCCTATAACCCTGGGTTAAATTTTAACCTGCTGTTTTTATTTATATATGTATAACTGCAGTGCTGGTTAATTATAAGTGCTATATGTATACATACAAGAGACATCTGGCTGTGATTCATAATGGAATTCGGTCCTGTTTCAGTCTAATTAATTGTTGATGCACTAATAGTTAGTCTAATAATACATACATATGACATTAAAACAAGAATTTCATTCAGAAAGCTTGAAATTATCCTCATCTGAGGCATCAATGATCAAATCCCCCATTTGTGAAAAAAGTGAAACAATAATTTCATTTTCTAGGAAACAAATCTGTAGACGTATAGTTGTGTAACATATGGCAGTGTGTGTTTCTGACATACATATACATGTGATGAACAAGTATTAAAATAACATCAAGTTAATTTTCCCTGATACTTCATTAAACTGTGGCAGAATTAACTATACTTACTGCATGTACCTAAACTAATTGTTTACTTTATTAGTGCCAAATTAACCATTTCTGTTCAGCACTTTCCAAAAAGCTTTAGCCATCAGGGCCTATCAAACCATTTATAGGGTCAAAATTATACTGTAAGTGACATGTTCATCCCCCTAATTTGTTTACAGGGCCGATCACTTAAAATGTGCAGGCCGGCTATAACTGCAATATTATTACGAATTAAACAAACTTTGAAAAGGATTGATAATGCCATGTTCATTTTGTAGACAAACAAAATATCTTTTTTATCTAATCAAATTCCATTCTGATTTGTGAATGGTCAACTGCTAAAAAATTTGCTTCACTGCAAACCGAACAAACCGGGAAGACATTTTGTTTTGATCCAGAATTCTCCAGAGATCAATAGTACAAGAATATCTCGAGTTGAACAACCATGCAATCAGATTGTGCAAAAGCCACTTTCCACCTCCCATGTATATACTAATTTCTTGTTATCATGCTCTGCAACTGCATCTGAGAAGTGTTAATATTAATATACATATTTTCCATCTTTGATTGATCTAGATAAGCTATTCAGAGTACCATTGAGAGTATACCGTTGGTACCTGCATGGAGGGTGTGGGTAATGGGAGTAAGGGGCTTGACATGCTCCAGGGATATATGCAGTGGACCCCACACTGCTATAATCTGGCCACTAGTTAACAACTGTCCAATCAGATTTCTATACACCTAAGCTGCTGCAGGTCAGAAACGTAGCTCTTCAATATGTAGCTGTCAAGATTTACCAATGAACAGGTCTCTTAATTGTCTGTGATGGCTTAATGAATTGCCATTAATATTGTACTCCGCAGTGTCAGCTAGGATATATATTTAAACTAGACTATTAATTCCCTGAGGACTAATTCTGAAATTAGTTCTTACATGCACTACTGAAGTCAGCATGCAGTTAACTTAATTGACAGTGCAAGATTTAATCATGTCATACAGTACCTACTTATTTGAAAATTGTGCCTAAATGAAAGAACTGATGGTGTTTGTACTTGCATGGCCTTCAGTTGCCTCAGTTGCCTATGGCAAATGGTCAACTCAGGCTGATAAATTGACTACAGTATTTGCTCATGCATATATGTAGACAAGTTGCGTGGCCTTGTTGTTTAATTGTTATTGAATGGTATTATTAATATTAATGGTATAACTGTCTTGGTTTAATAATCCATATCTTAATTGGATTTTCAAGATGCATGTTTTCACAATAATATGTTTTATTTTATATTTAACTGTAAGTTATAGAGTATAGGTCAGTGAGTATGTCTTATCTTTATATAATTTGGTAATAGATAGCAATCTCATATCTATATTTATCAACATCCTTTTATTTTACCAGACTGGTGATCATTATGTTTGGCCTGAATTTGAGAAAGAACTTTATTCAGTAAGAGCAATTGCTGTAATATGTTTGATATTTACTGTACCTATTGTATATTAATCAACTATATATACCACAAGATCGATGTTTAGTTATTCTCACAACCTTATTGGCCCCACCTATATTTACTTCTCCTTCCACTAGCTCCGCCTTCAACCAGAAATAGTGGCAAAAATAATACTCCAGTACTTAACAAAGTGTTAATTCAGGAAGGGTTGCTTTTTTATTTATTTCCCGAGTAGCGAGTGAAAAGTAGTGAAAATACTGAGTTTACTCGTGTTTCCTTCAGCACCACTGCAGGTTAAAATGAAGAAATGCTGTTGCACTTCAAAGTAGTAGCTCTCCAAGATTTAAGGTCATTTTCTGCTTGGTCCAGCAGTGGTACTGAAGGAAACACGAGTATACTCAGTATTTTCACTACTTTTCACTCACTACTCTGGAAATAAATAAAAAAGCAATCCCTTCCTGAATTAACACTTTGTCAAGTGACAATGCGCCCTGATGCGCCTTTAATATTTTAATACTGTCATGTGTCTAATGCCAGATGATTTTACTCGTCAAGAGGAGAGAGCTGCCAGTGTTCGACATAGCTACAGTAGGTGATCTGCCGAAGATACTTTAAGGCCCTGTCACACTATTGGCTATTGCGTATGAGAGAAACGTATGAAGCGTATGAAAATTAATTGAATAATTTTCACACACACAAAAATCCTTTGAATTGCCAGCGTATGAGTATCGTACAACTGGCGTACCTCTAGCGTATTCATCGTATAAACCATACGTCCGATACG